AGAAAAAAATTTGGTAAATAACTACTAAAATTTCTGTTAAAAGGTTAAATTAACAAAAATTAGATTTCCTTGGAAGGGACTTAAACGTAAATCATTAGATGATTTTAAAAAAATCAAACTGCTATATTTGTTTCTTATATACATTAATTTACTGTTGTATTCTTTGCTGCTGTGCCTTTTTAAACCGATGGGTGCGTTTACGCTAGCATCTCCTTTGATATACATCTTTGGGAAGCCAGGATAAATGCAAATTTTCATCTGTTTTAATTAGCAAAGTTTTGAGTAAGTGTGGTTAAGTAAGAAAACATTTTCATGGTATGGCGGGGGAAGAAATGATTTGGTAAATATACATTGTGTTTAGTTTCTGCTTTCAATAAAGAAGTTTTACTATACCTTTCAAATTTAAAGCAACTTTTGCACTTCACCTTTACCATGCTGCAGACAGGAAGTCCTGTCTCAATAAAGAACATATTGTTTGGTTATAGCATGGCACATTGGCTCCTTGTGGTTTTTTATAACCCTTTAAAAATTTCACATTATAATGTATTTTATCACTTTCAGAGATCCAAATTTTGTATTTCTACCATTTGTTACATTTTACTAGTCGTATTACTAAAGTAAATATGCTTATTGATTTTGTTTAAAAAATAAGATGCTTTCTTTTGCGCCATTACTCCCTCAGTGTAAAATTCTTTTACTTTTAGCTATACTGACATTTCAGTAAACACAGAACACATGTACACAGGGCGTAACAAATTACATTTAAAAATATCAGTTTTGATATGTTCTATGTCCCGACTCCTTGAATTACATTGGCAAAGTGAATACTATAAATTTATCCATATTAAAAATACAGATCCAAGAGGTTTCTTTGCTTGTTCAGTCACCATCCTTAGTCACAACCAGAAACCCCAAACCCTCTTTCTCTTCGCCTTTTTAAATAGGCGCATGTTTCCAGCAATGAGAGTGAAGATCTCTGGATTAGATCCTCACCAGCAATATTACATTGCCATGGATATTGTACCAGTGGACAACAAAAGATACAGGTACAGTGATTAGATACTGAAC